CCTTTTCCTTTTCCTTTTCCTTTTCCTTTTCCTTTTCCTTTTCCTTTTCCTTTTCCTTTTCCTTTCCCTTTCCCTTTCCCTTTCCCTTTCCTTTCCAGACCTTCCCAAACCTTCCCAAACCTTACCTTCCCATCCCTTACCCTCCCTTCCCAAACCTTCCCTTCCCAAACCTTCCCTTCCCAAACCTTCCTCTTCCCCTTCCCCTTCCCCTTTCCCTTTCCCTTTCCCTTTCCTTTTCCCTTTCCCTTTCCCTTTCTCTTTCCCTTCCCCTTCTTATTTTTTCTTTTCCCTTCCCAAACCTTCCCTTCTCTTCTCTCCCCTCCCCAACCCTGGCACTGATTTGAGTTTCTTTTCCTTTCAATAACCCCCCAACCGATCGATTTAAAAACCGAATATTTGGGGATCAAACACCTGAAATAACAGTTTGTGCAGGGAGGGAGAAATTGGGGATTAAGGCAGACTTTGGAGACGGATATTTTGGCAAAGTTGAGGCAGAAAACACTTTGTTATCCCGCAGATCTCCTACCGGGATGAGCTTTGGGAGCTGCAAAACAGTTTGAGGGTGTTATTTATGCAGAACGGGTGTGGGGTTTGTGCTTGTGTGACTTCCCTGGGAGTCCTGGAGCCGACTGGGACAAATCCCGGGAAGAGCTTTGGGACCTGGAGGGTCCTGGTTCTCCTTCCCTCTCCTTCCCTCTCCTGCCTGAATCCCACTCATTTGAAATGAAAATGGGGGATTTTAATCCGTGTTTACGCCACTGTTTGCATGGCTGGGCACAAACAAGGGCCGTGATTCCCCGGCCCCGAGAGGAATTAGGGAATTACGAGGGGAATTCGCCCAAGTCGAAGAACATATAATGAAATTAGTTGCATTAGGATTTTTTTTAGCTGCTTTTTTATTTTTTTTTCCACCCTGCTTAATTTTAATTTAATTTTAATTTAATTTTAATTTAATTTTAATTATCTATTTATATAATTAACTGGAGTTACTTTGCTCTAATTTCCTTGACAACGCTCCGTGTCAGGCTCATCAAAATATTCCCCTTTCGTGTCTCTGAGGCCACGTTTCAAACCAGGGAGTGATTTGGAACCCAGTGATCCATTTGGACACACGTTAGTGCAGGAATTCCCCCTGGAAAAAGGGCCATAATTAAAATCCTTGGTTTTATTTACACCCTCCCAGCAGACTGTTTGTGGTTGGTAATTATTTGGCTTGGTATTTTTGACTGGGGTTTGGTGGTTTTTGAGAGCCACAGGATTGGGATGAGCATCTTTTGGGAGTGGTAGAAAGAGGACAAGAGGTTTTCCAGGTGGGAATGGGGTTCTGAGCTGGAAAAATCAGCTGCTCTTAATCTTTGTTTTAACCTTTTAATGCCCTGCAAACACTACCAGTGTAGTGGGATCTGCTCGTGGTTCCATCCACACCATTCCCTTTCTCTGATCCCTAAATTTCTGTTGGATTAAGGATGCTTAAATCTCTCCCTCTGTGCCTGACCTGTGCAGTGTTGCTTCTTCAGACAGAATCCAGGAAGAATTTTGGGAATATTTAGCTCGTAGCAGGTTTAGGGTTGTTGAATTTCCACGGAATGCCAGATTGGTTTGGGTTGGAAGGGACCTCAAAGCCCACCCAGTGCCACCCCTGCCACGGGCAGGGACACCTTCCACCAGCCCAGGTTGCTCCAGCCTGGCCTTGGACACTTCCAGGGATCCAGGGGCAGCCACAGCTTCTCTGGGAATTCTATTCCAGGGCCTCCCCACCCTCCCAGCCAGGAATTCCATCCCAATATCCCACCTAAACCTCAGCAACCCAGAGGATTTCATGGCTCTGTGGGACCACATCTTTCTTGAACCCTCTTTCTCTGGGGCTTTCCTTAATTTTCTTTATATTCCTGGAATAGGGCTCCCAGATTCCACCCTGGATGAACCACCAGAACATTCCTGTCAGATCCAGCTCCATGTCACCTGCTTTGTCACTGGAATTACAATAAACACCTCTCAGAGGAGGATGGAATGGTGGGAAAGCAGGACACAGGGAAAATTTAGGGTTTTAAGCATTGGTTAAGGAGATTTTAAGGTATTTTAAGCACTGGGTGAGGAGAATTTAAAAGAAACTGTCACAGAAAATATCAGAAATGTTATATGAGAAAAAAGTGGAGCTTGGTTTAATGACATATCAGGGGAGACAAGAAGGTCAAAGAGGGAGAAGGAAGGTCCTCTCAGGTGAGGAGGGAATCCTGAGGGCAGAGAAGGGTCATTTTCCTGCCTGTGGAGTGAAAATGGAAACAGAGGAAAGGAAATTTGAAGTAACTTGAGAGGAATGTCCTTATTTTAGTACATTTAAGATCTCACCTGATGGGCAGGAATTCTGCAGAAGTTCCTTCCATCAGGATCAGGGGGTGGCCATCCCTAACCTCCTGCAAAGGGAGAGGTGTTTGCAAGCTCTTTGGAATGGAATTTGCATTGGAAAAAATATCAGTTTGCATTGGAAAAAATATCCATTTCCATGTAAAATATCCCTTTCCATGTAAAATATCTGCACATCAAAAACGTGTATAAATCATATTCAGAATCAACCAGAATAATTCCTCACATCTGGAGCAGTTCATTTCAGGGCAGGAAGAGAGAGAGAGTTTGAAGTCCACATGTACACTGGAATATTTCTGATGTTGTTCCCCTGAAAGATTTGAATCTATGTTATATTATCTGTCCCAAAGATCTCCCTGTGTGCATTTATTGTGGAAATCTAAAAAAGGGCCTTGCTTTCCTCCTGTTCCATCTGCACCTGTGAATGAGACAGGCAGAGTTTGGCCAAAAAAAAAGGAAATGAGTGTGACATGCAAAGACACGTCTCTTATTGATTCCCCTGGGTTTGGCAAATTGAATTAGAGCAGAAATGGTGCTGGTTTTACAATTTCCAGTCTGCAGCCTCCTGTGCTCGTCCTTCCCAAGGCTGAGGAGGAAGCTGAGGGTTGAGATGTGAGATTTGCAGCCAAGTCTTTTAATTACCAGTTAAAAATGTTTCCAGCCTTGGGTTGGATGAGGCAAATGTTTACATAGAATTCTGAAAGTTAAATTTCTACTGATTATGTCTTAAGGAATTCAGAGCTATAAAGGTTTAAATCCT